ATATTTTACAAATTGAATAATTTGCTCAATAATTAATATTTGGAAATGATTTGAAGATCTAAATTATTAAATGAACTTTTTAATAAAATCTTTAATAATTTATTGTTAATCTCCAATAATAAATGTAAAGAATTTATGCAACATCTAATGTCTTTGAGCTATAAAGGTTGTTTGGGATCTAGCTGAAAGTATTCTTCAAAGCAAACATTATTTTCAAAAATTAGAATTTAAAAATCAATACTTCTGATGTCTAAATTTAATTAACCCTTTATAGATACCTATTAGGAATTTTATGTAGTTGTTTCAGGGATAACTGGAGGGTCTAACTCTTAATAAAGATCTCTTAATATTAGGATAAGATTAAGAAACTTAAAAATGTTGAAAAGAGACTAACTTTGGAATTTTTGTTTTTGAGCTATAGGTCATTTTGTAACCTTAATTAAGGAAATTGTGGATGAATAGAGTATAAAAATGAATGAGTTGGATTTTTCAATTATTGTTTGGACGAAATTTCTTAGCTTTAGGAGTTCTTATAATACTCAGTCAGGTTTAGACCATTTGAGTCTTAGAACTTAAGAGTCCAGATTTAGAGAAAAAGGATAATGTATACTTTGATTCACCGATCCTTGCAAATTCTTATTGTAAACATGGAAATGAACAGCATACAAAAGGGAGTTATTATTAGTAGAATATTGCCAATTAGTCTTTAAGGGTTGATCCATAGTGGGCTTATATTAATGAGAGCCATTATTAGATTTGTTAGATATTACTCTGTTATAGTGATCTTAAGAGTTAGATCTTAAGTGTCTGGGCCCTATTGCTCTAGGTTTGAGGAAGCTTTTTACTACAACCTCTTGGCTGTCAAAAAGGTTTCCCCAAAAAATAGATATGTTTGAGTGTCTATATTGACCTTTAATTTCTTTATTTTCGTTAGTTGGTATGAAGGTGAATAGTACTATAATGAGGTAGTAGAGGCTGATATGGAAGGAAAAATGTTTTAAGCTTTTGGAAACTATTAATGATGGTTGTAAAGTTGTAGGTGTTATTAGTATTGTGGTATTTTTCTAATCGGGGTTGTTTGTCTATTGATTTTTTTGCATTATCTTCTACAAAGATTTTGATGCATTTAGTCAAGGGTTGTAAAACTGATTTAAGATTGAACTACATTTATTATTACAAAAATATTATTTAATTGCTAATGGCCTTTTAGTTTTTTCTCAATATCTCATTCAAATTGCTCTTGCTAACAGCTATTATTAGAGCTACTTGAATTTTTTTTCCCATTTTAACTTCTCAGATAAAGTGAAAATTATTTAAACGATATTTATATTCATCTTCATTACTTGTTATGGAATTTTACTATAATAGATTTATTATTCAAAGATTCAAGCAGGTTTACTGCTTGAGATATTTAATTTCATAAAATGGCTTTATAACATTATTTTAGGGAATAATCCCTAATATAATCCTTAAAAGGTAGTGATGATGTGTAATTTACTAACCCTAAATCACTACATTAAGAAATTATGATTGAATGTACAATTTTTTTTTTATTGTTATTTAGTTATTCA